CCTGAATTTTAACAATCTTTCTGTCAGCTGGGTCTATGGTTTATGCTTTCCTTGCTTCCCTACAAGAGTTTGTTGACTGCCTAGTACCTAAGCTGCACGCTAGAATCAAACAGGTTGCGTTTGAGAAATGACCAATGTGGAACCAGAAAGACAAAGCCTGAGGGCAGATCAAGTCATCATAGAAATATTTTATTAATCAAATATATTTACATTTCTCGGTCATTTATCTCTAAATGTGTGCCTGTTTTTCATTTAAATACAACATAATCCTGGTAGATTCTATCACAAGAATACAGCAGCATGCATGATCTCATTGGTCCTTTGTAGTATCGTTTTATTTTTTTTTAAAGATGTGAGTTTATTAAAGTTTTTTAAAATGTAAGCTAATTGTTTATCATTCTAACGGAGGATAACCATTCCTGTCATACCAGTGGTTCCAACAGCAAACCGTCCACACACTCCTCACCACCCACAGTAAGCTTCTTCTCATTCTCTTAAGTGACTTGTTTAAACTTTCCAATTCCCAAAAAGCAGCACTGACATGAAGCACTCACCCTAACCATTTTATCTGGTGGGAAGTTGGAGAGAGACTTATTTCTGTTCCAATGGGGGACCATGTACAGTAAATTTAAAATACTAGTAACATTAAGCAAATTTACACAATGTCCTGATAGCATCTAAATAGCTTACTTCTATTAGCATCCCACAAAGCTGGATGCCTTCCCCTTGATATAACAAAATAAATTAACTTGGGAACATTAGGCTTCCCAAATAACTTTGCTGATCTCAGCCAAAGTTTTCCTTAATACCTTCATCATCACCTAAGCCTTTTCATGTGAACCTGGGGAAGCCTCTTTCATAAAGGACTTGGAACTTCCAAGGAGAAGAATTTTGCCTCTGCTTTTGCTATTTCATTCTCTCCAGGCTGGGAGACACTTGAGGATGTGTCTAGACAGCTCAGAGTCTCCAAGGGTTGAGTCTGTTAGCATTCGACACTGCTCGAATGTGGATCAACAGGGACTGCGAGCTGGTGAACATTGCTCTAAAATGGCTGCTCTCCCCTACCTGTGGCACGATTGTTTTTAAACACAAAAGAGTTCTGCTGTAGAAATATATCTCTACCTTGTTAAAGTTTATATCAAAATTGTTTTCGCGCGGAAGTGATGTGCCATGTTTGGGGGAGAAAGGCAGCAAGAGGGATGTTTTGCCAGACAGGAAACTGGAAATACCAATGAGAAGCCCACTGTGTTCGACTGACAAGGAAAACGTATTTATCCCTTTAACAAACAAACGAGCCCACTGGAATCAGAATCTGGAGGAAAACAGCATGCGGTGTGGTTTCAGCACCACAGTAAAGAAGTGCCTTGTAATAAAGCTGGCTCAGGAAGAAATTCTGTAAACTCACTTTTTTGAACAAACTTCACAAACAGTTTCACCTAGACTGTGCTCCAGAACTTGAATTGGTTCCTTGAGTACTTCATGCATGCAACTATATTATTTGTGCCTTTGACAAACCATATCTATAAGGACTTCAGTCTCTCTACCTCAGTGCTTTAAACCAACAGGCTACACACATGAGCCCATGTCCCCAACGCACAGACTGCATAATTGCTCCACTGATGCGTGAAAAGGACCTCACTTAGCACTCAGAACAAAGACAGGAAAGTAGATTTCATTTAGCCCCATTCAGGATGTGTTTTCATTTGTCAATAGTGTTTGAGCCTAGTTCTCTTTTGGCCACTATCCAATATAACCTGCTCTTCCTGACTGTTGCCATTTGTCCTAATGTGAATTACTTTTTTTTCTTTTAGTGTGCAATCCTAGTTGCACATTAAAAACAAAAATAATGCCAGTCAGCAATCAGATATTTGAAATTCTGCTGTCCAGCAACACAGATTTGGAGATAACAAAAATCAGCAACTACAATTATAAGAGTATTTTGGCATTGCTTCCACAAACACATTTTATAAATAAATTATACTTGGGTTTATTAGTTAATTTTAAAAGGCTCTTATTCTCAAAAGGAAGCTTTGCATGGAGAAATAGTTTCCTTTTTCACCAATTACCTATTAATGGTTTTGGAGGGGGATAAAAGTAAAGAAGCTGCAAGGATAAGATTAAGTATATATGAGAAAGGGATGATGATAGTATCTGTGTTATCGAGTTACTGAAAATTAAATGAGATAATCCACATTAAGCAATTAGAACAGTGCCTGACAGTAACTGCACAATGTAAGTTACGATCATTATCATCCCATCAACATCTGTGGGAATAAACTCAGAATTTCCTTATTTTTCCATTAAAATTTACTCAACAGATTCTTTTCTAAGGGTAGCATCTTCAGTATACAGAGAAGAAAACTCAATAGTTTCATGTTTTTGCCCTGTTTTCTGACATATTTTTGTGTTTTTATCATTTTACATATTGATCTGAGGAAACTTCTGACATTTATTTCTTAGAGAAGAAACTGAATAACTATTTTAAGTGTTCAACACAACCGTGGACGACAGGCTAAGCATCTGTGGCAAGGCATCCACACATAAAGCAATGTTCTTCTCTGTCTGGCTGTCTCTAACCAGCTGTACCTGACAGCTGATCTTTGGGTTTGCAGAACTGAATCCCGAGGAGGGCTGAAACTCGTGCCTCTTACCAGGACTCTGTTGTTTTGTGGTAGTTCAGATAAATGCCGTGATGGGAAAACCTCAAACTCTTGGGTGGATAAACACCACGTATCTAGTCACTTTGTAAAAAGTCTCCAGAGCTCTTTACTTTGAAAGGATCCTGACATATGAATGACATTTCTGGAACTGACTGTTATCACTTAAAGCAGTGAATCTCTTGGTATCTTTAAGGATTTTCATGTCAGGAACTGGTAAAGGTTATGGGAAAGAAAGTTACATTCACATCAAGGAAGAAAACCAGAAACTAACTTTTTACAAAATGTGTTTATTTAGTTTACTTGTTATTCCTGATCTGGTTTCTGTAGGCATGTGGAGCCTTCATATGAGAGCAAGGAATCCAAACATCAGACTGCGGGTATGCTCAGCGTGACCTGTTGACCCTGCTTTTCTGGAAATGCTCTACTTTGTGAGATGTGCTGTGTTTCCCACTTTAAACAACTCAAGAGATACCTGCATTTGATATTTTAAACAAGTGCAAAGCAAATAGAGTACACGCTGGGCACAGGGACTGCATTGCCAAGGCTTGTCACATGTGAGGGACCTCAGACCCAGTCAGGGTCTGCAGAGTTCCTTCCCCCAGCAACTCCAGCCCTGTTCCATTAGTTGCCTTATCATTGGAAGGGGGTCATAAAATCCCAAGACCCTGGCCCTAATCCTGGTCTCTTGATATTGCTGCTAACAACCAATAGCTCAGTGGGTTAAGCAAAGACAACATGTCGTGCATCTCAATTTGCTTTGCAATATGCCTATCTTCTGGCCCCCAGCTGAGTTTACATCTCCCAGATTCTCCCAGTCGCAGCAATCTCTTTAACCTCACTGAGACAATGGCCTAAAGAACTAAAATACCCATGTTACTAAGCCAGCCACTTAGGAGGAGAATATTATTTTCTCACCAATAGTCACTTATGTAGTAGTGCTGTTTATGGGGAACACTTAAAATGGGGTTTTTATATAAAAGAAACATTAAATAAATAGTTGTAGAATAAATGAATGAAACAATGAAGCAATACATTGATTTAAAAATTGATAAGTTGATAAATGTTTATAAATCTTTATATTTCTGGACTAGAATGAAGTTTTTTCCAAGGTATGGTCTAATAAATTATAAGCTCTGTTGGGACAGAGTGGTATCATGATCTTTTGCTGTTGTAGTTTCCCGACAAGGCCCATTCAAGTCCACTTGAATGGACACTCATTAAAAATGCACTAATTGAATCAAATTATATAAATTATACAAGATTAAGTTTTACAGCTTTAATTACCCACACGATACCTTTGTAAAAGCATATCTCCTCTGAAAAAAGTCATTTTTAAAGATAAAACCAAAATGAAAAGCTCATCAGAAAAAAAAATTCAGGCACATTTCCTGGGGAAATTATTCAGCTTTGCCTTAGGTTACTGAGCTTGTTCTAGAAATGTGATGGTCTGCAGCCGCACCCCTCATCCTGCTGCACCTTGACTCCTACCAGGAATTACCCTTTTGCTTAGACTGCTAGACAAATGAGCTTATGCTAGGATGGAAAGTCTTATTCTGGAAAAGAAAACTTCCTCTGTCCCCACTGACAGAGAAGGGTAAGGAAGGACAGCTTCGAGAGCCAACCCCTGATTCGGCTCTGACGGTCTACCATCATCATCCTAGATATCCTCTGCCCTCAGTGATTCAGAGCTTTTATTCTCTTTACACCATCGTTAATTAGGAAGTTGCTAGTAAGGGAAAGTGGGAAATCTTTCTGACTGCAATCTCTACCACCCATTTGCTATTCCCACGGGATTATGTGTCTACTGTAAATAGAAAAGGCTAAAGCAATTGTTGGGAGGCACATACTTTGATACAAAGCATTTGGGACCCAAATCATCTCAGTACCTGCCTCAGGGTTCCAAGTCAGTTTCCAGGTATAGGCCTGTCTCAGGGACAGACGGCCTCTGCTGGGCTGCTAGAAGCTGGCGACAGGTCAGCAGTGTGAAAATTGTGAATGTCCCCAAATGCCTGAAAAAAGGGAGTATCCAATTTTCTATCTGTTAGGCAGAAAATATCTTCTGACCAAATTTGGTGGAATATGTATGCCAAAAATCTTTCTTAATAATATAGGAGAAAAATAGATTTAAATGGCACGGGTCTTTTGGTGTGGAGGTTACTGCCACATCCAGCGGGAGTTTGGAAGCAGCCAGCAAAGCCGTAGCAGTAGCAGAGAGGATTGTTGGGAAAGTCTTTCCATGCCAGCCATCAAGGTAGCAGTGACCGCTTCTCGCTCTCACATGTGGTGCTCATGAGAACTGAGTAGGGTACTTTGTGTTCAATTGTGAAATGAAGCAAATGGCTAGGCAGATTTTTCTTACCAAACAAAACTCATGTATTAGAAATATATAGGTGAGTCCCTTATTATCATTTTCAAAAAGTTCAAGCAAATGGTTCAGCCTTAATAAATGAAATAGCTTGTTCATCTTTGTAACAGATCTGTTATTTTCTTGTCAGTTCCGGGTTAATGTAACTACATATTCTTTCCACCCTTCCCAATGACACATCAGTGTTGGCAAATGTCTCCATCACTCAGGGCAGGGAACTGTAAATGCATTGCTACCTGCCAGACAGAATAGTTTCAATGAGCAACAGCTGCATAGCAGCATAGATTGCTTACTACTTCCATGACAAAAAGCAAGAAATGGGGGGAAAATTCTAGGTAAATGACTTGAGATTAGGCAATGAAAGTCAGAATTAGCCAAGTTTCTCTTTGGAGCTCACAATTCTAGCAATTATTTTCATATATATGTGTGTATAAATAATAACTATAAGCACAATTAATGAGGCCCTATTTTATTTCATTTTAAATGTGGCAGCTGGGTACTAAGTGACAGAGAAGCAAAATTAAAAGGGAAGAAAGATTTTCTGATAACCAAATATGTAACGATAGATTAAACTGAACCACGCAGGATCCCCGCCTTTCAGTAGTGAGTTCATTTATGTGTCTCCTATTTTTATGGAGGGAAGAAAACAGGAGAGCTCCAAGACAAGGAGTTTCTTATAAAGCTATGTGTTGCTATCAGGTGGCAAAGAAATTTAGAAAACAAAAATTGTTGTTATTAAACACTCTACATAAAACTGTTCAGTTTTATCTCAACTGGCCGCCAAGGTATTGAGTCTCTGAGATGCTGCTGGGAGCTAAAGGACCAACACTGGATCATTTCAGGAAATGTGACCCAGTTTCATTGAGCACCACTGTTGGACAGAGAGGCTAGCTGCAATTAAACTCACTTTCCAAGCACTTGATCAAAGAACAGCGAAATTAATCAATCTTGAAAGAAGATAAGGTAATTCCTATTGATGAAATTATTTGCTGCTGGGCAGTCTGTTCTAAGCACAACCCCGTTCGTGGCTCCTCCTCTCAATGTTTCCTCGGAAGGGCTATTTTTACCTATTTTTGCAGAAATGCTCCTTCCGCACCCAGGAGTGAGTAAAAGGGCCTGCCAGGCTTCACTGTTCTGAGGAAGGAGGAGAAAACTGCTAAAAGGGCCTTGACGACGGGGCTTGGCATGACTTTTGCTCACATATTCAACACTTTCACAGAAACAACACCAAAGATTACTTGAAGCCTAATACCTTATATCCAGCCTCAGACCGAAGAACTTTATTTTCATTTTCATTTTCATTTTTTTTAAGCTAAAATGTTATCGAAAACAAAATTTTCTCAACTAGCTGCTTCGGAACAATATACTATATTACGAAGCTCCGTACATGTTAAATGTTTTTGCAATCCTGACAGGATGGAATACGTCCCCCACTTTTTCCTTTGAATTTTGAGACTGAAACCACTGTCTTCCTTCTCCAGGCTCCCCTGCATCGAGACCAGGTTGCTGGGCGGAAGGAACCGCGAGAAAAGTGCACGAGAAGTGAGCGTGGACGACAGGGTGACGGGAGCCTAGGGGCAGAGGGTGGCACTGACTCAGCCAACGCTGTTGCTTCGAGGTCCCCCCGGGCAGCCAGCCTCAGGCCGGCCAGGCCAAACAGCAGGAAGAAGGGCTGTACAACGGGTCCCCATGAAACATGCTACTAAAAAAAGGTGCAACGAGAACCAAGTCCCTGTGCGTTCTTAGTCACAGCTGTGGGCAGAAGAACCCATGTGATTCCTCCCTTTGGTATTAAATAACAGTTTTTAAAAAGCTTTTTAGAAACAAAGCAAATACATGGCGGGACTGGAAATGTTAGCCGTCCCAGGTTAGTTGTCCACTGAAATAAGTCTCATCCCTAGTCATAAATAAATAATCTCTTTCCTGGTCTGACTTCCACGCCAGGATCAATATCTCTTAACATCTTACTTATTTTATTACTGCTTTTGGTTTTCTGGGACTGATTGAAAGTTGCTCAGAGGAAATCTTTGGTTTTGCTTAAGTGTCCGTGACATTTAATCATGACTTTCCTTGCAGTTTAATTCCAACCAGTCAATCAGTTAATCCACTTCGATTGATTCTGGGCTCTCGGTTATTGGCTTGCACTCATTGGGCATCCGCTGGTGTCGGCTCAGCTGGGTGGCCTGCGTGAAGCTCCTCTCACACCTCTCGCACCTGGTGGAGGCAAGAGAGAAAATTGAGACCAGGGAGCGGGGCCTGCAGGGTGATGGGCTTCCTCTCATCCTGCCTAATCAGAACAGACACTCCAAAGTGGCTTCAGATTTTACTGGCTCAAGAGGTTTAATTGGTGGCTCCTTCCAAGGCCTGGATGCCTGTGATGGGACAAAGCCCGTCTGATGCAGAACAGAGGGATCTGTCAATAGGCAGGGGAAGGTGATTTCTCCAGAGAGCCCTGTCCTGCTGCAGCTCTGATCACTGTCAGTTCAAATAGATAAAGAACAAAAAGAGATTTTTAGGAGTGAGCCATCAAAGCAGCAGCTTGTCTGCAGTTTTCTGCTCTGTAACCCCAAAGAGAAATTGATGACAAATAGAATTTCACCTGCTGCTAATTCACAATAGGGAATTCTACTCCCCTCAGCACCTCGGCCCAAGAGCGATCACCTCGGAATTGGGGAACTAGAGGAAGCAGGACATGAGTCTGCGGTGCCTATGGGGCCGGGCGTGGCGGCTGTGGTTTTTGCAAAAGCTGGTTACGGTGTCACAGCCTAACAATTTACACACTGGGGGTTTGCGGTGGGGTGGGGGGAGCTCAGAAAAAGCAGAAATCAATGGATATTTGTGTGGTTTAAGAGGGTCGCCTCTCTAGAAAGTACAGTAGAAATAACAGACATGTGGCCCACAGCTAAGGGCCAGTGTGTCTGACGAGGACAAAACTTCACGCTTCAACATTATCTCTTCTTCTTAACTTAAAATAGAGCAAAAAGACTGTCATCTAGAGACGCGAGGCCGTCCCTATCTCCCATGTCCGTGTCTCCCACACAACCCTCCCTTACTAGCTCGGTGCTACCCCGTCTACAGAAAACACACACTCGCTCAAAATCTAGTGGGGGCCTGCAACTTTTCTGTGGTTGTTATTCCTGGCTGATTGTGTGTGACTGCGTGTGACACGCACACACACGCACACGCACAGATGAACTGTGGCAGCAAGCAGGACATACGGTGACTGGGCCTTGGCCCAGCTCCTGTGAGGGCCCGGCAGCCTCCTCAGCTGCCCCCAAAAGTCCTTCCCTTGAGCCTTTGAAGGAAAAGACATTCAGGAGGAGCTGCAGACAACTGTCCCTCTTTTAAAGCACGCAACCCCCAGCCGTGGGCCCCTGCGCTACACATGAAGGCAAAAGCCACTGTGAGCAAGTCCCCGCTGCCTATGACAGGCGAGGAAGCCACCTGTCCTGTTATCTGGCAGGCATTCCTCTTTCTCCTCTTTAGTAAATTATATAGAAAGTTCCC